GGACGGGAGGCCGCCGCCCACCGCCGCCCGCCACCGCCAGAGCCTAGAAGGACACCTCGTCATCGGCGAGGCAGGCTTAATGAGCGGCCGATAAGATAATCGACGTTTTATTGCGGGAATACGACACCTGACGGCGCGATATTAGCGTACGCAGCACCACGGCCCGGCTCGGCCCGGCCCTGCGCCCCTCGCGCGCCCTCCCAAAGCTTTCCACCCTTTTTATTTCCTTCTATACGTTGGCGGGAAATGGGGTACGTTGTCTTATCTCTGATCGCACGTCGTCGTTCGACAAAATCGATCGGAAGAGGTTAGGAAGAGAAGAAGAGAGGATGGGGATAAGGTAGGGGGGGGGGGGGAGGCGAGAACTAACAAACTAGGCTGCTGCTGATCCAAGCAGCAGCAGCAGCAGGCTTCCACGGCTCGCCGCGCCGACCAGCAAGTAAGTTGTTGCGATGTTGCGGGTATACGCGTTATCGGCCGCGCGTTCCTCTCGCACACACTTCGCACGAACTCTCACGCACACTCTCACAAGGGCGCTCACACACACACGCACGGTGACCGAACGGGGCGTGTGACTTGTGTCATGTCAAAGACGACAACGTTCGCAAAGGCGTCGCACAGGGAAAGGGAGGGATTATTATTTGTTATTTTTCGCCTTCGGGACGATCCACGTCGGTAAGAGACCTTCAGTGACGCGGCTGACGTGAGATAAGGATATCGGCATCGCAGACACCAGGCCAGAGAGTATAGGCGGACCAAGGCGAGCCCCCCACCCGACATACCACTTCGAGGAAATGCACACGGCATAACTACTCTTCGATCCGCTGACGTCTTTACACATAGAGTAGTGGTTTATTCAGTTAGACTTGCAGTGCCAAGTGCGACGAGCAGCGCTGGCAGAGGTGTGAACCGCGGAGGCAAATCACTTCTCCCCCTTCTTTATCTTCTCGCAGCCCTCTTTGTTGTTGCAATAACCCGGGACCCGGGCACGATATGCCCCACTTTTAAGTGCAGATCCCACTGTTACGCGCCTGCTCCCCCGGACAACCACCCCACCCCTCTGCCTCATCACAAGTTATACATTCCCCCCTCATCATCATGCAGCCCTCCTAGACCCCCCGGAGGCCTCATCTCAACCCCCGGAGCCGTCGTCAGTCTTCTTTCTTGTTTTTTTTTTTCTTTCTTTCTTCGGAGGAGGACACGATAGGGGGACTACCATCGATTGCCACCAAAACCAACACGACCACCATCATGACGACGACGACCACCACCACCACGACCACCAACACAACTGGAGGTTCCGAAACGTCTTCTCTCTTGATGGATGCTTCAAGGTGACACCCACCAAAGCGCGGCCCTGGCGCTGCTGCAGTTCGCCTGCGAATTATTCCACAATCTCGGCGGGAGGCGGCACAAACAACCGCACACGTACACACGCACACACACACACACACGCGCGCACACTCGATCACAGCCAGCAGGGCCTCGGCCAGGGCTGACAACCCCGGAGCGACACGCGGTCGGACGCGTCTGCGGCAGCGGCGGCGGCCCGCGCGGGTGGCACGCCTGTGCGTCGGAGCGCGGACCCAGCTACACTACAGCCTGCCGGGCGCTGCCGGGCCTCGCCGGGGCGGGCTGAGCTAGGCTGGGCGCCGCGGGGCGCTGCGCTGCGGGGCTGCCTAGCTGTACCGGCGTAGCGCGCGCGCTCCCAGCCCCCCTCCCGCGGGCCGCCACGCCCCCCACCGCGCCCCGCCACGCTCGCGGCGCGCCTTCGGCTCGCGTTCGGCCCGGAGCCGAGGCTCGGGCCGGCGCGCTCGGTCACGTTCGGCAAGCCATCGGTGGTGGTGGCTGCTGGGCGCGGGGGTGCGGTGCGTGCGTCCCGAGGACGCCAGCCCTCGCGCCAGCCCTCGCGCCAGCCCGGCGAGGCGGGGGTGGCGAGAGCGAGAGCCTCGGCGAGAGCGCAGGCTGGCCAAAGTGACGGCGGCTGCCGGTTATTACACTCATCCCTCGTAACGGTGGGGTAAAAAACATCGCCACCCAACAGGCTGCCTATCGTCGTTGCCCTCACCTGCCGCTCCACGACGCACCGGCGAGGGGCACGGGGTAGGGCTAGAATGTCTCTTTCGCCCGCCAAAGCGCCCACGCCCCCCCCCCCCCTTTTGTACCCTTTCTGGACCTAGGGGACTTGGGTGTCTGTGGGGGGTCCCTAGCCCGGGCGAGGATCACCACTGCCGAACCCTTTTCTGGGGCGAGAGCTTTGGCTTTGAGCAACGGAACGCTTTTACCGGTGCCATGTATTTATGGTGAGCAGCTGAGTCCGGGCCCAGGGCCGTTAGGCACCACGCCGCGCCACGCCCCCCGCCCGCATCGCCTACGAGGCCCTGCTGCGCTAGAAGTAGGCTATGATATCGACACGATTCTGCTTTCTCTGCCCAGAGTTATATGTGATGCAGTCGTATGAGTTTTCCCTCGCTAGCAAATGAAAAAAGGGGGGTATAAAATCGAAGTTATGCTCTCCGATTGTAATCGTGCCAAACCGTCCCCATTCCCGCCACCTTCTCCCCGTCCCTCCCTCACTCTTCTGACGTCATCACAGGAGAAAAGGGAGGACTGGATGGCGCTTCAAAGTTAGAGTGCCTAAGTTGCTATCACATTAGCGACTCATTCCAGCGGGTCTACAGGCAGGCACGCCACATTTACATTTTTGGAAACTTACAGCAGTTTTCCCCATTTGAAATCCTTTTCAGAAATTCACCAATTTCCACTTTCCTGTGCGGTATTTATCCTCATGATAGAACCGTTCTTGACCGCAGGGAACGGCGGCGCATAGTGGCCCATCGGTCATGACAAACTAATCAGTAAACAGTCGAGCAGCAGTAGTTCTCCTGTCTAGAGAGCTGAGCTTCGAGGACCTTGTCAGCCCGGCCCGGGCGCCGGGGCCGGGTACTTGTCAGCTAGTTGCCACTCGACAACGAGGTCCACCCAAGTCCAAGTCCAAGTCATTTCGAGGACGTCGAATTGTTGGACGCAAGTGTTTCGCCGCCCAGTGTATTGGCCCAGCCTAGAGATGGATGTGTCAAAAGCTTGGGATTTCGATGACGAGTCTCCCGCAGAGCCTTCTTGGACGTGATTCATAATTGATGGGTCCCCCCAGCCCTCGACCGCCACGCCCCACCGCAGGGTTCAGCGACCTCCCCCATGCCGCAGCGCGCGGCGTGGGCGGCGGCGGCGGCGTGTCCGCGGATCTTCTTCTCGCCAGCTCCTATTTCAAACCCCCTCCCACTTACCTGCCGCAAATTCTACCTCACTTACTTAGTACTGGTAGTTGTACAAAGAAGAGTAAGTGGTTATGGCCAACAAGTCTTTTGGTGTGATTTTTGATATGTGATGTAGCACGTAATTTCAAAACACAATTAACCGTTTGTCCGCAACGAAAACAGAGGAAGAAAGAAAGAAGTTTCTTCAAGAACATGGCGGCCGGCCTATAAGAATACAGGGACCGGCCGCCATGTTCTGTTAAAAATTTGGTTGAAAATTTACGACATTTTGCGGGTTACGTTTGTTAGCGGCAGGAGTTGTAATTTAACAACATTCTGGAAGCGACTTTTTTTGTAGACTAAATCGTGAATAAACAAAAATGACGTATGATACTATGGCTCAGGGTACCTGATCTTGAGTCGTAATTTTACGAGTTTTGTTGTTATAGAACAATATTTGTCATTTATAAACAACCCAAAGTCGGTCCAGAACGACATTGTCGTATATAAACGACCCAAAATTGTTCCAGAACCACATTGTTCCATGATTAAGAAAGGAAATTATTTAAAAGAAATTACACAAGACTTCTGAGCAGTTATGAAAATGCCATCTCAAGTACTTGAGACATGTAATAGCTGTGCTTGGCAGTTTCCAGTTTAGTCTGCTGACTTTTAATAAAACGAAATCTATTGTTATGACACGAGTATATCGTTATATTACGACATCCTAATTGTTTAGATTAAAAAAAAAAAACTTAAATCGTAATTTTACAATCTTATCTTACTCTTACTAAATAAAAAATGTCGTAAATTTACAACTATTTTTAACTGCGTGTGGAAAAACGAATAATTGACTTCGAAAGATTCGGCTGATTTTTTTTTTCAAAAATTTGGACTTGCGGCTTTTTGTCAGTTACCGGTGAATCTAGTTGTGGCTCTATGTGAACGGGTGTGCAAGTGGTAGGAATGCGATGCGATGGGGAATGTTGCAAGACACGGCTATAGTGGTTCACACAGTGTGCAGTCAAGTGACGGTCTTACAACCACGGTGGTAGCTAACCCCAACGTCACCTCTGGTTTCTCAAAACACGGATTAATTTGGTAGCAGCACATCTACCACAAACACACAAAAGACAAAACAAAAATACGTCTAAAAGGATGGCTTGCACGAATGACTTGATAGGAAGAAGTTAAACTACTTGCAGCTTTAAAACACACACTATATGATCTAGATCAAAAACTGTTGAAGAGAAAGAGGAAGGAAAGCTGCAAGGAGTACCAATTAGACAGAAACAACACGACTAAAAGAGCAAATCCGTATGTGAATGTCACACGTCACACATTTATAGGTGTTCGCATTTCCATTCGTAACACTTAAGGGTATAGGGTGTTCGAAATTTCACAGAACATTCATTTGAACACGTACAAGTGTCGTGATAATAAAAATCCACACACCTACAAGTTTGTGACATTCACACACTGCGATTTTCAGTGTAGTGGCACCTCTCAACAAGATTTGGTACAGATTGATAAGACGAAATAAAAAAAAATACGCAGTATTCTTTTTGGCAAATCCCAAATCCCATGACCGTTAAAAAGCAATTTGCTCTTCATATGGAGGAAAAACCCAGAAAAAACCACAGGAATCAGGATTTTGCTAGTGAGACTTCATGCAAAGAATTAGTGCTTTTCGTATGGAAAGGTTAGAGAACACAGAGAAAGCAGAAGTCCAATAGTACATACGGTCGCTCCAGAAGAGTTTCAGGCTCCTTCAACCTGTAAACCAGAGGTGGAACACACATATGAAATGAGAGACACAGAAGGGAGGGTCCACAAGAAAGCTAAGAAGTGGCCAATAGTGGAATTCAGAGCTACACAAGTATATTAGACGCATGCCCGTCTTTTAGTCAAACAACATATTTTATACATAAAAAGCACAATGATGTAAGCCCCGTACTTTAACATTCCTCCTCTCTCTTTCAAAACGTTGACAAATCCTCGTTTTTTTAATTATCTTATAATAATACAGAAAACTGTATACAGTTAGTAGCCAGGAGAGTGGCGATAGAGACAAACATAGATCAGAAGGGGAGAAAAAAGGCACACTGCATTGATCATCTCTAAATAAATGATGCATTGGTTTTCAGACCGGCCCCAACCCAGTGGGCCGACCGCCACAGCTCTGTCCAGCCCTCCCCCAACCCCACAAGCGCCTCGACCGACCCCTCTTCACCTTGACCCCACCCCCAACCCCCTCTAAATTCCCTATCTTCTCCACCCCCTCTCACCGCTACTCAACTCTGAACCTTCAGTGAGATAAACTTAAAGAGGAAGGAAAGGGAACCCGTTGGTGGTAGCCCACCCCCTCCGCCGTCTCCCACTGGCGCCCCCGCCCCTTTCATTTGCACGTAATAAACTTACTCGGGATGTTAATCGCACCATCCATTCAGCAAACTTGTTTTGAAAAGGTCCTGGGCCGCTTCCTTTGGGTCGGAGTACTGCGGCTTCCACAAGCATTTCATTCCCCGCGCCCCAATGGCCAGGGAGCGTGAATGCAATGCGGCCGGGCCAGCCCTCGGGCCAGCCCGCCTTGAGCAGCGGGCCGGCCGGCTCGCGGACGGGTGCTCGAGCGGGTGCGCCGACCCCGCGGGCAGAACCATATTTCATCCCCTTTCAGCCGGCGAGCTGGCTGCACGGGATGAAAAATATTATGCGCGAGACGAATGACCCGCGCGTCCTGCCATGCCCTGCCCTGCCTCACCGCGAGGTGCCCATTGAGCAGCCCGCGCTCTTGAGAGCTGACGGACCGACCGCGCAGCGCATCGGATATCCCTCCCAGCGCGCAAATCAATTTGTCAAGTGAGCAACTGAAAAAAAAGTGAAGGAGAATCTCAGGGAGGGGAGAAAAGGAACGGCCTGTCGGCCAGCTTCGATAAGGCACACAAATAATACTGGTGCAAAAGACGTGTACGAGGTCAAGAAAATACTCGCAAAGCGCCGCGCAAGCTTTCCCCGCTCTAGAACCGAGGCTGACTGGCCCGGGCGCGAGGCGGGGCGGCAACGGGGGCCATCTTTATCAAAACGGGAAACTTTAATATTCGGGTACAATGCACGCACAAGGGAGAGAAAGGGGCTTGTCGTAGACCTGCAGCGACATCATCAACAACAACAAAGGACTCAGACGGTTTTAATGCATTTAAAAGGCGTTACGAATTGGTACTCCATTAAAGGCATTAAAACAGCTCAAAAGTGCTACATTTTTGGACACTTGTGTGCCTTTAAAACGAAATATCAATTTAACACCCTAAAAGGAGAATTGAATCCTAACGCTGTTTTTCCAGTAATCTCTCCTG